GGCTAAAATAACCGCATTTTCGAAAGCGACGCGCTGGTTATTCCATCCCCCACCAGGAGGTTGATAAGACAAATATTTCACTCCTTGGTTGTTTTCACATACGAATCGCCCGTTGATATACACGCGTTGTTTAGATAAACACATTATTTCGTAGTCTAAAGATCTTCTCCACTGACTTGAAGAATTGAGTCGAAATTTCATCATAATGATAGTCACGAAAATTAGACAAACAAAAGTACAAGACATGAACTTAACTCTCATAATCATTCCCATCACAGTATAGTGATCTTTAAGGATGAAAATTTTCAGTTTACGCATCACGTATCGAAGTATGGCAATAAACCAAGCGAGGTAACACCTGTTTGCTGTCCTGAACGAACGAAGCAGAACATTTTGGTTTGTAAACAACGGTAAATAGGCAGGCCTGGTTTGTTTCCTCTCCATTTGAAATGCTTTGTGGTTTTCAAGAGAAACAAGCAAAGAAGAGTCATCGAACAATGACCTCATTTCACAGACGGTTGCCTTTTGGCCACCTAATTCTGGTGGCGAATTTGTTCTTCGTGAATCAGTTAGACCAATAATAACAGGTAATATTCTCACGAGTAACTTTCCAGCAATTCGTGAGAAAAACCAGGCTCGGTGACCAACCAGTCCTTACAGAAAAAATGCAATCAAAGCGCATCTGCTTCGACGGCGCTGGGAAATGCCCCCCCACATGCTTTTTGGTACTGTTTGAGTTTTACCGAGCAATGATCTATGAGGAAACATTTTTGAGGTGTTGCAAATTTTATTTAGACTATGGATGATGAAAAATGAGTTTATCCTCTGATGTAAACTTCCAACAAACAAAGGCTGTAAATAAAGAAAAAATGAGCCAGTTTTGAGGGAAGTACTTCATAACGTTTACGGAATGCGAAAATTTCAAACTTCTCGCCCTAGATTGTAATATCAGGTTGACATAACGCATATCAACCCAAGATCGAGCAAAGTGTCAAAATGAGAGGAGCCTAGTGTCAAAACTCGGACACTGGAGTTTAAAGGGGATAAGTTTCTAAAGAAACTGTGGTGCTCCGTCGGTGGGAGAGTATAACAAGATAATTTTGCAATTGGTTTTATCAACTGAGTTGATAATGTTAATTGGCCACTGTAAAGAGTTTCAAAGCTAATGTTTCGAACGTTAGCCCTAAGCTCTAGTGTTTAAAATCAGACACTTATGTTTCAAAGTCGGACACAAGTGTCCAAAACTGGACCTGGTATCTTAAGTCAGACACTTATTGTAACCAACGCACCAGCAATAAATTTAAGAGGAGTTTAATTTCCTGACGACTCGACCGAACTCTTCTATTTATATGCCATTGACAGTGTTTTCTGACGATTTTGGAATACGGCTTCATTAGAACGTACTTGCGATTACCTTTTAACTCGAGCTTACACTTTTTCTATTTGCATGATCCGCGCGAAAGTCAAACGTATATGGATAGCCGCGCGGACTGGGGCTAGGAGGTAGATTGGTTTCTACACTTATGTTTAAAATCGGACACTGGCGTTTGGAATCGGACAAAAATCTTCAAAATCGGACAAAAATCTTCAAAATCGGACACTAGTGTCCATGATCTAAAATAAGACACTAATGTAAAAAATTGGAATGATGTCCAAAATCGGGTACTACTCGCCAAAATCCTACACTAGCGTTGAAAATGGTACAACAGTTGAACATTGATGCCTAAAATCGAATACTATAAACATTTTGTCTCAAATGTGACATCGGTGTCTACAATCGAACACTAGGTCGAAAAGCGGACACTAGTACACGAGTGTCTAAAACTGGACGTATGTCCAAAAAAGGGACACTACTTTTTAAAATCGGACGCTTGCGTCTAAAGTCGGACACTAACGTCTAAAATCGGAAACTAGTGCCTTAAGTCGGACAGTAGTGTCATAAATCGGACATCGGTGTCCAAAAACCAACGCCTGTGTCCAATATCTGACTCTGGTATCAAAAATTGCATGCTACTGTCTAAAATCGGACACTAATGTCTGAACTCGGACACTAATTATTAAAATCCATTTGGTGTCTAAAATTTGACACTTGTTTCTGAAATCGAACGCTAATGTTTCTGAAATTGGACACTAATGTCTAACATCAGAATTTAGTGTCTGAAATCGAAGGTGTCTAAAATTGGACACTTGCGTATACAATCAGACCTTAGAGTCTAAACTTGAACACTAATGTCACGATTACGCAATATTGGAAGGAGACGGCAAAAGTTGAAGTTCTCACCACTTAATTGAATAATTAAGACTTCCCATGAGGCAACTCTCAGGAGGTTTTGATTGAGTCTGTAGATGAGACGCTTGTGTGTCACCTTTAAATTGAAACCTGCTAAGCACTACCTTCCTTAGATACTGTTTGGTATGCTGTAAAGGCAGTTTGCATTATCAGTTCTGCCACGAGGAAATTGTGTCGTGTTACCATGCAAGTTAAGCTTCCGAGCTTTACTTTCATTTGGTACAGTCAAATGATTTGGCTATCGCAAAACTTGATATTAATTTTTTGCGTTCAAGTGATCGTTAAAACCAGCGGTAGTCAGCTTTTCTACGACCCAGGGCGAGCGGGTTAATCTCCTAATTACATCATTCAGTGTAAACATGTGAGGTGGTGTTCTCATGATCTCATAGCCCGGGAACATGAGAACGGCGCAAAGAGATGGTCTTTTGCGCCTCGCTAAATCTCTGTTTTGCACTTTTTGTTTTATTTTTTACAATTATTATCACTTTAGGATGCTGCTCCTGCTGGTTTGACTACTACTCTATGACAGTCGTGGAAAGAAGCAAAGAACACGATAATTGGTGAGCAACGCGAATTCTATCACAAACATAACTTTGAACCATGGTCTTCTTTGGATGCTTGGATTCATAATGGTACATCATATTAACCGCGCTTTATGTCTTAACAGTCAGATTCGAATTGAAGACGACAACGTGAAATCAATTTCCAAGTGAACATAACGATTAAGTAGCGAGGAAAACAAGGAAATTTGAAGCAGGTAATGACAGAAATATGTTTGCGCTGCTCAACAATGTCGAACCACGGAAATCGTAATTTGTTGATAATGGCGATTCCCAAGTAATCATACAAAAGGGTTGGAATGTTTCCAAGGTCAGTGAGGTTTCAGTGGTATCCATATTGTTGAGTAACGTACCTATATTTTAGAAATTATGGACACAGTCAAGATGTTACGATCCTCGTACTATTCATGGGTGAATAAGCACGATTGTTGACAGAGACTTTACCTGTAATCGATTGAACCAATGAAATCAAAATAAGCAAAAGTCCTTGTCTTGCAACCTGCTATTTTTAGTCTTGGAGACATATTTTTCCTGTTGTTAGTTTGCTGCGTCTTTTAAATTTTTTGTTTCAGGTAGCTATTAGCAATCCTTGCGAAAAAGGTGACGTTTGTCGATTATTTTATTATTGGATGTGAAAAAACTTGCAGAAGTTTCTTCAAATTGCCTCGAAAGTCTTTTTACGCTTGTTTCCAAAAATTTTTCGCATTTGATGAAAATATAACCGCATTTACTAATAAAGACAACAACAATAGAACAGCTTTATGCTCGTATATCAGACAAAGGATGGGCACAAACATCAAAAGGAAGCCATGTGCCAAAACAATTCCCTGAAAGACTCTATTGTCCGCGAGCAGAGCCCAATTCACAGATGAACTGTTTTTCTAGTTCTCCCTCGGATTCTAGGGAATGGGAGTGACGCAAAAATAACTTGACTGTGATACCTTAGAAAAAGACTTATATGGGGCGCGTTCCATTAGCTTCATCCTTAGTGGATCTGAGCGCATCCCATAAGGACTATTTACAGATCTGAAGCCGTTTGGCATACCTTGCTGGCGCTGCGGTAAACGAAGTTGCAAATTAGCGTGACGTGCGTTTGAGGATTACCCTGGGGCAGTAAGGAAGGGGGAGGGGGTGGGGGGAGGGTTAATTAAGATAGCATTCGTATGCCAAAGGGGGCAATGCAAATAATGCAATGTTTTGAATCCAAGAGTCACGGGTTTTTTATATTCCAGAACATTACGACTGAAATGATAATAACTGCTTGAACTTTCGTTAATGTACATGTAGATTATTTAGCTTGTTCGTTTTGAGGTTATTCAGGCTTAGAGCCTTTGCAAGAAACCATACAAAATAATAATAAAAACTCAGATTAAATTATACACTTAAATTTAGGGTTTAACGGGCTTCTAGAAAATTTTCAACATGACATTTGATTGCCAACTTTCCAGTGTTTTTTAATTGTCCTAAGACAGAAACAGGTCAGGTTTGCCTTATCTCTAGACAAGGTCGATTGAGCAAAGTCATCAATGTTTATGGTTAATGATCGATTTGATAGAAGTTACTGTTAAGTGGAGAGTGTTCTTTCTTTCTTACTTCATCGAAGATGAAAAAATACCCTCAACTAGTTAAAAGAAAAGCCCTTTTACGAGCTAGGTAATCAGGCAAAGTTTGTTTGTTAATTAAACCATATTATGGTCTACTTAAGGAACAAATTTTGCCTCAGTTATTATCTGAGAAAATTTCTTCATGGATACTCAGCTAAGATGTCAGTAAAATTATGAAAAAGTTACAATAAAAGATTTCAGTTCACTTTTAGAATTGAACGATACACGTTCTTGAAATTCAGTTCGGACGGACCACAGTGATCATATGGGGAAATGTTTTAGCTTGCATGGTTACCGAGACCTCAGACGAAGATGCTGTCATCTCGGTAATAGGAATGACCCACCTTTGGTGAAGCATTTGCAAAAAAAGAGAGCGGATTGGCGAGATCTCTGAAAGTAGGATTGCTGTGTTTACAAAGTTTATGCAAAGAGATCCTTAAAGGAAAATTGATATTTGTAGAATATTTAATTTATTTCATCATTTCTGAGATTGGAAACATTGTGACCACCTATCGAGACACACTGACACCACCTGTTAAGGCTTCGCTCGTATCCATGTACCTTAAAAAAGTGGAACAATCGCTCAAATGGAAATAACAAAACACCATTTAAGTTTCCAAGCTTTAAACGATCGAAATCACCACTGAAAATGATGGCAAAAAAAGGTGTGTTATCTACAGTGATTTGTGTAGCTTTTGTGGTTGTTTGCACAATCATTTACATGTGGTTTTATGAAACAATCAGTCAGGCTGGTCTTAATTAATTTTAGCCCCGACTCGCTTATTCAGGTGTCTAGTCTTAAATTATCACAATATTATTCCTTTATCTTCTACTGCACTTTATCTCGACTTAATTTTTCATTTTTGATTAAAGTCAATTTCTTACGATTTGCTTACCTAAACACGTAAAGAAAAAACTGCAACATTTCTATTGTCAGTAAAATGTACTTATAATAACAACGTATTGTTCACTTTAATTTGCTAAGCGACGGATTCAAGCTTTGTGTGCTCATACTTTGTTTATCCATAAGATTGATGTTTAAGTTTTGTTAATAGTTACTTTCGTTGATTTTTTTTCTTATCCTTTTTTTCTGGGTTTATAAGGGGCCATGACTTACGAGCAATGAAATGGTGTATCTATGCTCTGTGCCATGCATTGTCATCAATTAAATTTAAAAACGATATGTCATGTGGTTTTCTTTTCCATTTGTAATTTTTTTCGACTTCATGCATCTATTTTTAAAGTAATCTTGATGCAAATTATTTTTTTCGAGGTAAAATCAAACGTAATTATCTAAAAGAGAACTATCTCGAAGACAATAGTTCCTTACGTTAAGGCACGGTAACAATATACAAATAAATATTAAATGATGCTTTAAAATCACGCAAGATTTGAACAGAAACAGCTTCACAGAGGGTTCTACAGACTAAAAAGCTTTCGCATATCTTCATTGTAGATTGCATTCACTGCTCTAGCGCAAGAACTGGAGTAACACACAGGACGAAGCAGTGCAAGAGAAGGACATCATCTGATAATCTGATTCTCCTTTGTTCTCTCTATGCCCTGTGCTTGATAAAACCTGTGGCGCATGCGCATCACTGGATACCGAAGAGAAACGAAATGAACCACTATGTTCACGTTGGACCAGCACATATTGTAAAACGACAAGCATTTTCGCAGAAGATGCGCTTCGAAGTTGTATATGACGATAGTATTGGGGATTTGGACGAGGAAAAGTACGGTTTAATTACAGGAAAACTCATTCCAGAGGCAGTAGATTATTTTCATGAAGCTTTCAGCGTAAAGCCAACTAAACAAGCTATAAAGTTACAACGGACGTGTCAAAATAATGCTTACTTTCTGAAAAACCTAAAAGGAGACTCTGCAGGCGATATTCAGTTTTGTAAGCTAAATTGTGTTAACACGCAGTGCGGGCCTGTGAACGTGCCTGCCGACCACCTAGATCAATGTCGCGTGTGTGATAAGGATGGTGTCAAGTGTTTCAATGTCCCGGGTGAGGAGTGGGAGTCAGGAATGGGTGTAGAGTCACGTGATTTTATACTGTACGTGTCTTGCATCCAAACGGACCACTGCAATGCGGCAAATGCAGTAGCGTACGCATCCTATTGTCAACAGGAGCATGCACTCGACAGACCTGTTGCTGGGTTTGCTAATATCTGCCCTAAACGCTTAGATACGGATCCCAGACACTACCCGAATTTGCTGTCTACTGTAAAGCATGAAATATTCCACGCTTTGGGATTCAGTGCGGGACTTTTCGCGTTTTACAGAAATGAGCACGGTGTGCCATACACGCCGAGAGAAAAACACGGTCTACCTCCGTACAACGAGAAATACGGTTTGTATCAATGGAGCCCTAAAATAGTTCAAAGAATAGAACGAAAGCAATGGGCGACGCGGCACGGAGACGTGTCACATCAGGTTCACATGATTGTGACGCCACGAGTAAAGCGAGAAGTGCGAAGGCATTTTAACTGCCCGAGTTTGGAAGGAGCCGAGATCGAAAACCAGGGCGGTATAGGAACAGAATACACTCACTGGGAAAAGCGTTTATTTGAGAATGAAGCCATGACAGGTACTTACACGCAAAATCCTGTTTTCTCGAGGATAACCTTTGCTCTTATGGAAGATACAGGCTGGTATAAACCAAACTACAGCCTAGCGGATGAACTCGATTGGGGAAAGGGACTCGGTTGTCTTTTTACCAAAGCGAGCTGTAAAACATGGATGGAGAAACACCTGCGAGAAAAGCTACCTGCGGTGCCTTTCTGCTACGCCATCAAGAAAACTCCTCTGCACATGCGGTGTACCCACAGTAAGCTGTCGGTAGCTTTGTGTAACCTTCGTAAGTACGGCCGGGCCATACCAGAAGAGTATCAATATTTTAATCATCTACCAATCAGCGAAACAAGCCCAGGCTTAGGAGAGTTCGGCAGTGCGCGCGGCGTGGTTATTCGAGACACCGCGTGGTACGGTGGCGCTGTTCCATTAGCAGACTACTGCCCGTTCTATCAGAAATTCACTTTAACCGAAACGGATGGCGCAAAACGTGAAACAACGTGCACAGTGCCAGAGAACGCGCCCGCCCGCCTTGATAACTACGCTTTGGAACATTACGGTCCAAGCGCGAAGTGCGTCGAACAAGGTCGCGCGTGGTTGGCCAAGAAGGGATTTTTAACAAGAACAATGGTGGATTGGGGAAGCGGATGTTACAGGTTCCATTGCGACGGAGGATTGCAGGTGGAGGTTGGAGGGGAGTTTTACACTTGTCATCGCAAGGGACAACATCTTGAAATTCTTGGCTCCCTGAACGACTGGAAGATTAATGGCTCACTGATTTGTCCCTCTTGCGAAGAATTCTGCGGCGTCCATAAAGGCTGTCCACAGGAAATGAAAAGTTCTTCCGAAGGGATTGCGTTTGTTGAAGGAGAGAGACCAAACCGTAGAAACAATGCTCACAGTTTTAGGATATCGACCTCAGAACTAATTTATTTCATAATTTCAAGAGTCTTTTTAATTTTTACCGTGATGGGGTGTTTTGTTCCCGCTTTTCATTTCTTAGATATTTTTGTCTGAAAAAAGTTTGTCTGTCGGAGATAGGAAAGTAAAATCTGTTCAAAGAACCAAGTTTTATCAAAGCACTTGTTATTTTCATTATTAGCCACTTTGTGATGCTCCAATGGTCTATACCACACGTTTATGACCCACACATTTTATCCTTTGAATAAGCTGGATCCATCTCAAGGGATTTTTAGATTCAACTTAACCAGTCTCCCTGGAATAATGTCACGTGCACATAGCGTGTTGCCCAAATGTTTTGGTGTAGAACGACGGGATGCCACTTGGGACATCCACATGACCAAATTCGCCGCACCTGATTGGATATCTTAGATCACTGAAAACGGGATTGATCCTAGGAGTTATTTCAAGGACCATCCTCAACATGGATCGTGCATGAGAATCGTGAAAAATTCAATCTGTCAGCCTGGAAAACAATAGTTTCATAAAACGTTTGTTACTGCAAAGAAAATCAGATCACATTCGATGTAAATAGAGCCTGAAGATCACGCTAAAGTAACCAGTAGTTGACATGCTTTCCCTTCCCTCCGTCAAGCTTACGCGCTCGTCTTTAGCCCCCCCCCCCCTTCCCTCCCCTGCCCTACTCAAAATTTGGCTGGGTAGGATGGAGAGGAATGCAAATTTTTCATAGTCGAATTTAAAAATGTTCTGTATCCTTTTAGGATTACATAGTAACGAGAGTTTTCTTGATTCTTATTAATAAACAAATAATTTTGCACAATTATTTTCTCGCTTAATTAAGCAAATTTTCTCCAGTGAGTCCTATTTTTCAAATAAACAAACGGGATAAGATCTCACAGAATATAGAGAATATTGGTCATCCATTAAATGAAAGCGTGGCAGTTCTACCAACCTAAACAAACAAATCTTTATTAGAAAATCTCATTCTAAATAAGTCTTAACTTTGAACACTCACTCATTAGTGGAACGCAAATTTGGTGTCTGAGCGTATTATGCATAAATTTACAAATTGTACAAGAAATGTAATTTGCTTTATGAGTTCTCAAATTCAGCTGCCCGTAGCTTGTCGTGTTGCGAGGCGGTAAGATGCGATGTCTTCTCTTGACAGTGTGCCCCGCCCACCTGACAGCTACGTGATCAACAAGGAGACCATCCTTCTTTTCGGCCTCATGAATGCGACCTCGTCGAATGAGGTACGGCTCCGTCGAGCCTGAATATAGTCTAGCATATTTACAAATTACTAATCCAAGGAGTTCTGTCACATCGTACCGTACAAATGAGCTAATCCCTGAAGGATATAGATCCTTAGATAAGTATATCTCATAGCCCTGAGTTCGTAACGGTTCAAAATGTGACAGGTTGTTTACATGAGTAATTACATACAAGACATTTGTTATGCTACGAAATTTCCTCTTTTCCATTTGTTTTAATCTGTAATGAAGAATATTGCTGATATTTCTTTCTTCGTTTCTTGATATCAGCATTGCATTGTACGGCTGTTTTATTTTTGCCATGATTCTTTGAAACTTTTCCTGAACATATCGTGTAAAACGAATGTAGTTATCGGTCCATTCTTGTGCCAGTGCTGTCCGTCTCCTGGACAGAAATCGTATGTCAGAGGTTGCTATGGATCCTGCACGAAAATATAACACATCCTCCTTAACACTGCTTAACTCGGAGATGATCCCTCTTATAACAGGTTTGGGATGGTAAGAACCACTTTTCACCTCAAGTCCATAATCACAAGCAGGGTCTACTGCAGAAACAGGGAATGACAAAGGAGAAAAGTTTTGCGCTTCGAGCACTTTCCAAGCGTTTTTATTAGTTGCAGATGGCACAAAATCGACCCAAAAACCCACTGAGTCGCGATGACAGACATCGAACCGTGTCAAGTTTTCAAAATTGTTTACAAACTGTCGATGAGGTACACTTCGAACCCTGATCAGCTTGGATAGGTGATTCAGATCTACTATGGAGGAAATTGGGACGGTGAATTTTGTGTCCAAAATGTCAAAGACCTTTGAGTCAGGCTGAAAAGTTCGTTGGACGACTCGCGAAAGTCGCTTTATTTCTAGTTCACTGGCCAAAGGCTGAGCGAGAAGAGTTCTGTTTAGCATTTTGGATATTATGACGGCATTCTCAAAAGCTTGAAGCTGTTTACTCCAACTGCCAACTGGTGGCTCATACGACAGGTATTTTTCTTTCTCGTGGAATGGAATAAAAAAAAATCCATCGTCCGAGAAATCGCTTGACAGTACGACATCTGCAACAGGTTCTTCGTATGACAATGTTCTTCTGTGACGGCGAAATATCTTTGCGGGTCTGTAGATCAAAGTTAGTGACACCATAACCAAAACCATGACAACGAAAAAGTCAAAGATTCTTTTCAACGAAGTCAGTGAACAGTTGCGAAGAACGTTTGGAAAACATACTCTGTCAACAATGTCTTTTGTCCCGGGCATGTCGGTGAACAAACTTTTGCAGCATTCATTGTTTCGTTTTGCGAACAATTTCTTCAGAGCTACTAGGCTCTTGAATTGAAGTAGTAAAATTCTCTAGATTTCGTCATCACTGGTTCAGAAGAGTCAGTGGTATTGGGGTAAAAAGGGGCTCAAATTAATTGGTTTTTGACAAAGTGGCGTGAAGTCATGGTGTGTTTGTTCTAACTGTGCATCTCATTGGCTCAATCTAACAAGCACTGCTCGGGCAGCAGGTAATTGATTACTCAGGCGCCAAATTACCCGTAAGCACATTGATAAGTTATTTCAGTCGTCAAAACCTTCTATCAGCCTCTTTTATGAGAAGGGAATTGATTTATAAATAGACGGTAATACGTTGGCGGGTGACGGAATGATGTTAGTTTATTGCCATGAAGTTTATTCTGGGAAAAGAGCCTCACCTAGCAGCCGAAGCTCTAGGAACTAGTGTTGTTTGAGACAATTGTCGAAATGCAAGGGCCTTCCTAACGGTTTGCGAGTCATTCATGATTAGTTTTTCACAACTTTTAACCTTCACAACCTCGGCGTAACGGCTAGTTCTCTATATTCCAACAAACGACAAGCATATATGAGTAAGGCAAGGAAATAGTTTTGTAAAATCAAAACCGAAGGACGTATTTACTCAACCGCAAACACACATCCGGACCAGAATAACGTTCCAACACGTGTCATGTTGGACGCAGTTAGTACCCCTACTGTTTCTTTACAATCGTTAGAATTTTCGGATAACCTCTATGAAGTTTAACTTCCAAGGATTGAAAGATTAAGATGGCTACAGCTGATGCAGCTTAGTACCAAAGCAATCTTTGTCATGATATTGTCCGCGCGAAGTTTTGCGCGGTTCAGTGGTAAAAATTCTGGTCAATCTACGGCTAACGGTTAATATATTTCCATTGTGATCATAAAAAAATACGGTTAATTTTTTTGCGACTAAAACAATTAAAATCTGTTAGTTTTCACGCATAACAACTAAAATTTTTGGCCGTTTTACGGCTAACGGTGAATCTCATCGGGACCCATTTGTCGCCTGCGTATTTCATCGTAGTAGATTCTTATAAAAATTCTTGCATTATCGCGACGATTCGATATAAATGATCAAATTTAAAGGCTGAAGACAAACTAGAGACTAATTTTAGTTTTGAATCTGATACTGGGAGGGGTGCCTAAACTAAGTTACTCTACTTTTTTTCCAGATCTATCACAAAGCGACGTGAAGGAAATCCAGTGCAATCTTAGAATTCCTCATCAAAAACGAGCAAGTAAACGATATGCTTGCCTCATAGTTTATTCATTATTTCCCATTTTATAATATTAACAAAAATATTATTTTATTAAAGAAAAAATCATAATGAAACTAGATCAAATTTGTTTTTGCTGCCTCTAGGATTCTTCGATCGTCGTTAACGACCTGCAAGAAAAGTTTTAAAGTTAATCGCATTATTAGAATAGAATTTATTCTCTTGGGGTCATTCTTTTCCAAGTTTTTCTTTCTTTCTTTGAGCTTGAAGTAAATTTACCAAATAGTATTGTGATTTATTATACCTTATTCCTTTAGGTAAACTGTTATTTCTTTTTTTCTCCTAATTCCTGCACACATCAGAGCAACGTTTCATTTTAGCTAAGGGTTTTGAGGCGCTGCATTTTTCATCCGGGACAATCTGTCCATTTGCTACGTAGATGCAATCAACACGAGGCTGGGAAACCATGCCTAGGAGAGAATATTTTCAAATAAGCATTATTTTTAATATTCAGTTCATATCAGCAAAATCCCCAAAGTGGCACATGTAAAGGCCGACAGTTATACCAAGAGTGAGGCAGAACTATGCGAGAAGGGGAGTAAGTTTCTAAAAAATTTGTGGTGCTGCGTCGGTGGGGGTATTATGAACTGAATTGATAGTGTAACTTGACCACCGTAAAGAGTAACTAAAGAGTTTCTAACGTGTCAGGTGTCAGCCCTTTTTTAGAGCGAACACGACGAAGGGCGAACGCTCGAAACGTGAGCTTTTGAAACTCTTTACATGGGTCAATTTTAAATATCAATTCTGTTGATAAATACAGAACTATGCAAGCAAAGACAGACAAAGAGGATGGCCATTAAATGCCCTCAGTTAAAATCCACTTATTTCAAATTATAATTGTATTGTCGGAGAGGGGTCTGATATCTGATGAGCTGAGTACAAAGAGAAGATAACGACAGCAAGACACTTGATGATATTAGTAAATGTGTGAATAAATATTGGTGGCGGTGATAATGACGATGACGAGAATAATAATGATGATGATCATACCAAAATCACTTACTGGTGAAGGCGTAAACGTAGTTATTATTTGACTTTCCCACTCCTTCCCAACAACCTTGCAGATTAAAACCATCCTTATCGTAGGTTTTATAGCCTTCGTCGCCCGACCAGCATTCTCCGTAGAACTGGACTCCGAAGACATCGTAATGCTTACTCCAAGCATCCTCAGCACATTTCTTTACCGTTTTACTCATGTGGTACCAGTCAATGCCGTTACGAAAATTTGCAACCAATTTTT